CTTTGTAATGTTTTCTCAAACCCACTAATCCTAAATCAACTCCAACTGTTTTTCTTCCGGCCCCCTTATCACCATTGATCTTTTTAATATTTTTTCCAGCTTGAAAACGATAAGTTTAAGGTCTCATGGTAACATCTGAATGTTAATGCAAACCTTTTCTTTGTCTACCACAGATCATTTCGGTTTATGTATATTATTGTTACTTATTTTCCTACCGCTGAATTTTCGCGATCTTTGAGGTTGTCAAAAAATCGTGAAATAAGAGACCCACGTAAAAAGGTTTTCGCAAAAATCAACCACGCAAAATTGAATACACTTGACTAGGAGTAAGGGAAAGCGCTATGTTGCCAAAAGTTGGGAGAAAGCTAACTACTGGGGTATTAACGATATGTCTGCTCTTCCATTCGAGGATCCCTTTGAAGAAATTGACAATAACCTTTATCAGCTGTAAGTGTAAACAGACGGTGTCATGTTCTCTTGTTCAGTGTCATTGAAAACTGTTGTTTGGGAAAATCAATTCAGTGCTGGTAACTGTTTGATAATGCAGATCAGTATTTTAAATTTCTTTGCGAGATTTAGTTCCTTTCAAAGTAAATATTTTTGCAAAATGAGTTGCGAAATTAAAGTCCTGCGAAATATGCCCGTTCCATTTTCGCAAATTAAGTTCACGCGAAAATAAGTGACTAAAAGGTAGTTTCGTCGCCCGGCGAGAGAAAAGAAGAAGGAGGACCAATATAATAAATATGAACATCTTTTTTTGGATCTATTAATCGTGGCGATGGAAGTCTTCCAGCGCTATACTAATTTTTCCTTAAAATCCGGCTTTCAAGGTTATTTCGTATTTTGTCTTTCCAATTTTTGTAATTCTTATTTTTTCTTCCGTTTCACGTTGTGCCGTCAGTTCTACCGTCATAAAATTAAAATCTTCTTCACAGAAAGTTGATTTTGTGGTTATAACAGCACAGCATTTACTACTTGTGAAAACGACAATTAAACTTCTTGCTTGGTTTCTCCTCCCATTTCAACCGAGTCAGTTTTTTTGTAGTCTCTAATGCATAAAACATTATTCGTTTCCTGAAGTTCCGTTTCACACAAAATTGAAAACCCAAGTGTAATATTTTTCATACAAGTTTTTATTCATATCTACTGCTCAGATCATACATCTCAGCTCTTTGTAAATAACTGGATCAGAAAAATGGTTATACAAAAAATTTCGTCTTATCATACAAAAGTTTGTTATGCAATAGCATACACACACATCACAATTTCGTTTTCCGTTTAAAATCAAAGTAAACGAAAACTGCGTCCTCGTTTTGAAGCGAATCTAGTGTTGAACTGACTTCAAGCCACGTTTTATCCCACATGATGACTCGTTTAAGCATGATTTTGGCCAGTTGTGGAAAGAAACTTCTGCATGCTGATATGCAAATTCAATGAAAAATCGTCAGTGGCACTCGGAAACAACTATGATATGCATCCTTGGAAAGTTTTTACTAAGATTACATTCGCTATTAGTTCAAGGCGACAGCTCGATTTGGTGACACCTTGGCGTCCAAAAACACGCTGTGGCCAACTTCAATTCATGTTCTCCGATCACATCTTTCTTTACGTGGAACTCATTAGCATTCATAACCACACCCAGGAACAAAAGAAATTACAATTCAAATAAAACACAAAAACAGCAAAAATACCATCCACGTCAATACCTAAAATGACCTTTGAAAAAGAGGAACAGAAGCTTCTAAGGAAGAGCACAGGTAAATCTTACCCCTGTATATCAACTCTATTTCTCCGCAGTTTCAGAAAAAAACCATGAAACGAGTCTTCTATCGTTCAGTTAAATTTGGACCACAGGAACATAGCATTAATGAAAAAAAAAACACTCTGTAGGAAATTAACTGGGCTTTCATTTAAAGACACTGGGCGAAATTAACGCTCACATTTTGTTTATCTCTAAGAGTTAAACGTCACGGAAAATGGAGATTTGGAGTTACGCATTTTCTATTTAAGGATAATCTTAAAGGGAAGTCGCATACTTCATACAAGCGGGAAAAAAGATGAAATAAATCATGTGTTTCATTTTCATTCCTTTTGTTTTGTGTTCTTTTGTTTGGAAGAAGAAACACGTATTTGCTTAATTAACCGATACCCTTAACCCTTTACATCCTAACCTAAGTATGCATATTCTCCACACTGTTATTTATAAATTTCCTAAGGTGCTGACAAGAAGAATTTGTTTGCCAATCAAAAGGTTTCTTCCCTGGTCACTCTTAGGGTTTAAAGAGTTAAAATTGGCGACTTCCTTGTCTATATTACCGGTTAATTTTATCACGCTCGTGACAGGACGAAAAACATCTTCCTGAACTTGTTATTTGATGTGTAAACGGAGCTATTAGTATTTACAAACAATGTTTATTATGAGTCGAAACTTTCAGTTTTGAGGACCGTTCTAGAGCGAAACCGGAAAGGAAGATCTTCGTTTCAACCCTCAATCCAATTTTGATAGCAGGAAAGGGGTGATTTGGGGGAAATAAACTTACACCGCGATCGAGAACGAAGATGGGATTTCTGTCGAAGTGACACAAAGATTCTGTAGGAAAAACAAGCTGTTTTCTTTGATTTTCAGCATGAAAGTAGCCCAAACAATGATCAGAAAAGAGGAAACGGTGAAGCACAATTTTTCTGTTTAATTAAAAGATTGCTCTGAATGGTACACTAAAGAAAAACAAAATAGCTTTCTTGTCCACGTTGACGGTGTTCTAGACACCAGTTGAGAAAAGCAATATGTAAAACTGTGTAAAATATGACCGTGTTAAAAGCAGCTGTAAGTGAAGGTCACCGGTTCATGTTTGTGTGGAAAGTTACAATCAATTTGGAAAGTTCGGTTCCCTCAAAGCTTTCTGATAGGAAATGATTACTTCTGTATTTTAACACAAATTGAATATATATCAAAAATAAAGATTTTTAATTTTATACCTTTTATAATTATAGGCGCTGTAAAGGAAACACTTATGCAGCATACTAGTGGTAAGGCTGAAGGAATAACTGTTATCTGTTTAAACTATGTTCAAGATAAAACATAGTATGTTTTGGACGTTCTGGGAAGATTTTAACCCGAAAACGTTTTTTTAAAACATTTCCTCATTAATTGCTTAAGCCCTAGACCAAACATGATCAACAATTCAATCAATATAAGGTCTCCTTGTCTGACATGAAAGTTCGGAAGGCGGATTTTCAAAAGGATGACATGTAAAATAGCTCGTGATGACCAGTGTTTATAAAGGAAGACAAATGTTATGTCATAACTTTTGATCCTGTCAAGTCTTTCAGGCAGAAAACATCAATACCAAAAGTGAAGGTCATTTTATAGTCTTGCAACGCTACGCAAACCGCGAATCTACGGATTAACACTCTTTTATTTTTCATTGAACTAGTTTTGGTTATTACAGGCTTTTATGGGGGAGAGCTGAGCAGACCACGCTGTGCGTGAGATTTTGCGCTGATCTCACGTAATTGCATGTTTGACTACGACGACGATCCTTAGAGGGTGTGGGTGACGGAAATAATTCCTTGCCCTTCCACGTTCCGCCTTACTAAGTCGTTCCTTCGAAGTACTTCTGGAGCTTTAACTTTAGCCCAGCTTTTGACTGGTTTGAGGAAAGATAAAACTGGATACCTTTTCAAGAATCGAATGTCCTCTCATGACAGCTAAACCCAAACTCCTCTTTACGAGAACTTCTAAATCAGACATAATTGAAAAAAAACCATGTCTCCAACCTTGACATAATAGTTACAGAGAAAATTGTCTCAAAAACCCATAGTGCAACTTATTTAAACTTGTCCACCTTTGTGGAGATAGCTTATGGCAAGCAAGCACACGATCAAGGTCAGAAGCTTCAAAGGTAAACAAAACAATAAAAAAAAAGCAATCATGAATAGGCCGCGGCGGATAGAATTACTAGAATTTCGCTTGTCAACAGTCTGCAAGATTCGGAAGTTTCGGTTCCATCATTGCTTCAAGAAATGCAGAAAACATTCAGTTATGCTAATGTTTGTGGCCCATTTACATCTTATTTGAATCCGTTGGTAACCCTCGTAACTAGATGGAAACACCAATATGACAAAAGAAAAATAAGTGAAAACCCCCACATGAAATTAATAATTAATCGTTTACCTATTTATTTCTAATTTTACCAATGCATTAACGTCGGCGGCGGAGTGATTGTTGACGAATTTCAGACTGTATTTCATTTAGCCTATGTTGCAGAGGATCTACATAGAACTTCGAGGTGACTTTCGAAAGCTCGATGATCCAACCTCAACAAATACTCTTAAACGATAAAATAATTTTTTCGTTGGAGTTGACGGTCTAAATGACAGAACTTAAAAAGGGCGATATGTAAATTGTAGATAATGAACTTTTCTAAGTAACCGACGGTGTGGGCCACCTGTTAATGTTTTTAAGGGAAAGCGATGACGTCGGAAATTAAAGTTGTTTCTATGCTTTCCATCTCGGAAGACTCACGGGGAAAAATCGAGCAAGGAGAAAGAACTTTTACTAACGCTTGACATCCCTTTAAATACCTGTGGGCGATTTCACGGAAATAGGCATAGAGCATACCAAAGAGGTAACCGGTCAAGTCGCCCGAAACTCATCTCGCTCGAAGTCATGTCGCCCGGAACCAGAGTCATGTTGCCCGAAATTCATAGTCATGTTGCCCGAAATTTTATCGTGTGTTTAATCTTGAAGAAAAGTAACGATGGCAAGGAATAAACTCGTAAAATTCTGACTCGTAAAATGTTTTCGTCCGCTAACCTATGCAAATATGAAGTAAACCAAAGACTCAAATATCACTGTTCATTTCAGCGTTGTTCGTTGCTACGAACTAAACTGCTCATTCTACAGTACAGATTCTAGTAATCATAAGCGGAACTTTCAGTTATCAGAATTTTTCACACATATCAGAAAAATACATCGTTCTCTTAGTTTTATTTATTGTATAAATATATGTTATTTGCCGGCTGGGAGGTCCGTATGGTGAAAAACTGTGAC